GCTGCACAAAATGGGAGAGTTTTTCACTTCCCGGCTTATGCACCAACTAGGAATGCATACATCCATTTTAGTACGAGTACCAAGATAAACCTGGTCCTCGGAATTTTTTAAATGAGTATCAACATATTTCTTGATGAGAGGTTCCACCACACACCAAGTTTCATCCTCAATAAACGGGGGCAAACCTGTGTGCATCACCTGTCAACAGTCAGAATTGAACTCGGGTCGCTAGGCTGCACAACGCATACCCAACCACTGAGCCAAGGCCCTCTTTGCCTAGTATATAATATTTAAAAGGTATTTATAGAACCGTCGTGGATAGAAAAACCATGGTAGATTGATTCTCCATGAAAACTCGTTATATGAGATATGCAATTGTCTTCGGACACTTGTCGAAAATTCATGTGTCCTATAATTTTCTGGTAGCTTATCATTACGATATAAAATCATACACTCTAGACGCCATCATACAGATATTTGTTAACACATACTCTCGAAAACTCCCTATTAATATATCTAAAGATACTTAATGAGTTTCAAACACATTCAAAGGAACACGTTAGGTACATAATGATATATAATTGCAATTTCCAATGAATTTTTTACGCGCTTCATATTAACGGAAGATCCAAATGCAACCATGGTATTATTAGCAATCTCTCAAACAAAATATCAAACAACACAAGCATAGGTTATGCTATAAACATTTTTAATGTGGCGCCAATATATATGCGAAAATAGACATCAGGATTTTAATATAAAACAATGAAATTTAAAATTTAATGGCATGTGGCTAATTGTGCAATATATATACTATAAAAATTAATGTAAAACTTATGTTAACAATTAGTCATAGAATAAGTAAAAAAGTTTGCTATAAATAAACAAAAAATGTGGTCATTTCATTAATAAGAAAGCAGATAGGTTTTCGTGCTCCTTGACTAGTGATTTACGACGATGTTGAATAAGAAGATCTAGTTGTTCCCAATGCCTCACATTCGTAGTCTCCAAATGTAATCTCTCTTCTACATCCAATCCAGTTGCGACAGTTAGACAAGTGATGTTGATCCCTAGGCATTAGCGATTAGACGGCCGCAGTTCGGTAGAAGTGCATGCAGATGCATCACTCGTACTTGACTCACCCACCTATAATATGGACGTAACTAGCTTTCTTGATTTACTTAGCTAGGAGTTAAGCCTCAAAATAAATACTGGCACTTACAGTTCAAATTAAGATGCAGCATGTGAGTTATTTAATGCATGATAGTCTCTCGTATTCACAAAGCATAATTTTCTGCATAAAAGTTTTGTCCAACATTTAAATCATTATCCTCCATTTTGTAGATTATTTTGACAGCATGTGCACTAGCGCAAATATGAGAGTTGGAGTTGGTGGAAAGTCTATTTCTGGTGAAATGGTTTCAGCCGACAATAAGATGGTAAGTACCACCATTTTAATTACGATAAAATCTCAACGGAAAGTGGCAATGGAGTTTGATACAAAATCTCGACTTAGGTACTCCTCCCACCCATTTTTATAGTGTTTAACCTAAATTTGCTTCTTTTTCACCATAATTACAAAGCATGATTAGCTAGATGTGGGATACCTTCAGGTTTTTTTTCTGAGATGACCTTTAATTTCTCTTTTTTAGATACCTTTAATTTCTCCGTCGCACTAAAAGCGTTGTCCTCAAACTTGCCAGCATCATCATTTTGGGCCTCTAACTTGCCAAGGGAAGAAAGCGATACCATTGGGTCAGAAACTTGCCCAAGACAGACACACCCGCCAGTAGGTGGTGTCGGCTTAGGGGAGAAGAGATGGTGGCAATGACGGGGTCACCACCAGACTGTGCTATGATTGCAACTAGTGAAGACACACCTCCATGAGACATGTTTATGTAAGGTAGCTTCATCAAAGCATCACTAGCACAGGGTGCATAAATTAGAGAGGGAGCTCAAGCTGCCAGAGGGAAGGCAGCTCCATAGTGTTCGTGTTACTGCTGAGCTGTCTAGCTAGCCAGGTTTCATAGACGAAAAAAACTATAGCTAGCTGGGATCGGGAGGCAATGGGAACTCATATCCGTGATTTGAGTGAAGTAGTTGTACCAATAAGTTCTGTTACCTATCCAGAAGATTGAGCTGAGTTGGCATCTTTGGCTTGGACTATACAATACTACATACATACCCTACAATGTTTTGCCAAAGGTCTAGTACCTTAAGCTTACTTTGTCCGCGACTAAGCATGTGGAAGGGTAAATATGTGCCTTTAGACAAAACTAGCAAACATGCCCGTGTGTTTCAACGGGTGAAAACAACCTCATACACCTTTACGCACTGAGTATGACAAAAAACCTCATCCTCATGCCCCTAACATAATAAACAGGACGAATACCTCATCCTCAGGTCCATGTCTTCCATTTCAATATGACTTGAGACCCATGTTTTCGCTTCTCCTCTTTGTGTCCTCGTTTCCGATGGTCGCAGTACCAGTTGTCACTAACTAAGGTTAGCCAGGTCCAGTAACTGGATCACTGAGCCTCCTTCGTGTCCCATGAGATCAAGAGCTTTGAGCAAAGATTATTTGTATCATCCAGCTAATATAAATAGGGATGTTCATGTTATCATGTAAACTGAATAGTTTGTGTAAGCTAGACCATAAAATCTTACTTGGACTCCTCATGCGTTGTGGCGGGAGCGAGGCTGGTCGTACGTGAAGACGTGGCGGAGAAAAAGATTCCTTCCATCTCCCTAATTTAGTAAATTGAACTAAAACAATGCATCTGATGGTATATTTCAATAGTTCACCCAGTTTTATTAGTAGGTATAGATTAAAAAATGGTTTGCTATAGTACCTCCTAGTTTTAAAAAAGTATTCATGTTTTGAAAAAATGTTGCCTTTATCAAATTAAAATTCAAAAAAATATTTACGTTGTTAAAAAATGTTCGCACATTAGAAGAAACATTCACTACAATACCTCCTAGTTTTTTAAAAAAAATTCATGTCTTAAAAAGTATTTAGGTTAAAAAAGTGATACTATTTTCTTTTTTAAAAAAATCGAATTTAAATTTCTTGTTCACAACTTTGTAAAATATTCATGTTTTAAAATTGATTCAATTTTTCCAAAATAAAAGTTTTTCATTTGCTCGTAGTATGTGGTGCGGCTGTTGGCTTAATTTAAGAAGTTGCGCTGCCAAGTAAGCACCAACTCTCGTTTAGTACAATGGCTACCGGTCTGTGTTGCCCAACATAGTGCCAGGGTTTGATTCCTTGGAGCTGTATTTTTTCTTTGGAAAATTTTCATTATTGGTACAGGATCCGCTAATGGGCCGGCCCATCCAGGCTCTGTCGTCGTATGATTTTTCTGGCAGAAACAAATCGGAGAACGTGGGTGCACTGACGTACGAAAAAACATGTGGATCCCATCGTAAACCAAAAAAGTTGGAGAAGCAGTCCTCCCTTTAATATTAGGCAGAGATATAATGAAGGTGGTTTGTTGGCCTGGCACCGGGAAGAAATAAGAGACATATATAGACAAGCTAAAGAGAGACAACATGCTGCAATGATTGTAACCACTTACCGGTGTGGCGTAGGATCAATCAGGAACTGGAAGAAATGTAAAAGCTAACGGACGTCACGTGCGAAGACGAGATATGGCCGCTCGCCGTACCCATGAACGCGGCGTGCTCTTCCGTCACTGATAAGTAAACGAAAAGATCCACCATGCTTCAGTCTGTAGTTGCCAGGAATGTGGGCGTCTAGGGATATGAGATCAATGGTACCGGAAAACACTTTCGTCCCGCTTTATAAATAAAGCATCCGACAAAGCAAACATAGTCCAACAAAGATAGCAATAACAAGCAACTTAGGGTGTGTTCGGATGCTTCCCTAGCTAGCCCTGCCAACCCATGGGCGTGCCAAAAATTTGGCGCAAGATTCCCTCGCCTGCGACTCAGCCAGAAGTTGGCGGAATATTGAACTGAGGAAGCTAGCGTGGTCAGGGCAAGCCAATTTATTGGCATCCATCCAAATACACGCCCACGCCCACGCCCGGTCAATGACCAACTTTTTGGTTGGGCCTTGGCTCCAATCCAAACACACCCTTAATGCATGTTTGTATGAGATTACTATGGATTTCAATGTCTAATTGTAGAAAAACCCATTATAGAATTTTTGTAACAGCAGCATGCCAGAAAAATGAAACGCCACAATATATTGGCAAAGTTGTAGATGTGTGTGAGAAAATACAGGGCGCTGCTAACATTAAAATACTTGCACCATTCAGAAAAATTGCACACTCCTACTATTAGCTGAACATAGCAGATTTGTAGCAGCGTTCACATGGAGATGCAGACGTCGCTGCAGTTTACTCGATTGGACGGTACTCTCAGTTCACACGCACACGCACACGCACATCATTTTACCGGGTGCAACAATTTAACTAAGTATATCGTGCATAATTACCCACCCCCAATTAGGTCCTTTAATTTGAGGGACGTCGCTCTTGATTAATAACTAGTATTTTTTTAAAGGAGGAATGCCCCGGCCTCTGCATGAAAATGATGCATGCAGCCATATTATTTAACGTAAGTACGTAAACAAAGTCTGAGATCCACCAATGACTCACGAAAGGAGCCAAAATCAAGCAAAAAGAAAAAGTCTAAGATGCCACATCCCGAAAAACAGGCTACGATGACTATATTGTACAAACTTTAGTATAAAATTGAGTCATTTTTGAGTCACTTATTTTGGGACGGAGGGAGTAGTACCTAGAACTAACTCAGTGCATGCATGCATGCACGTTCCTTACCGTGAGTAGTATATAAAGAGTAGTTAGTCAGTATGTAAACTTACACGATGAAGTTTTGTTTGCTACGTACAGGATGCTGCTGGGCCTTCTCTGCGGTGGCTGCCGTGGAGGGCATCCACCAGATCACCACCGGACAGCTGGTCTCCCTCTCGGAGCAGCACCACCGAGAACCACGGGTGCGGCGGCGGCTTCATGACCTCTGCCTTCGAGTACATAGTGGACAACGGAGGCATCACCACCGAGGACGCCTACCCATACGTCACGGCCCAAGGCAGGTGCGACTCTGATGCCACACAGCTGGCCGCCACCATCAGCGGCTACCAGGTCGTGCCTGCCAACAACGAGGACGCGCTCGCCGCCGCTGTCGCTAACCAGCCCGTGTCCGTGGGCATCGATGGAAAGCAGCCGAGCTTCCAGATGTACAGTGGTGGCATCATGATTGGCAACACCTGCGGCACAGAAATCAACCACGCGGTCACCCTGGTGGGCTACGGTGTCCAGCAGGATGGGACAAGCTACTGGCTCATCAAGAACTCATGGACCCAAATCTGGGGAGAAGGAGGTTACATGAAGCTCCACAGAGGCACGGGCGCTTGCGGCGTTTACATGCTGGCTTCTTACCCTGTCGCATGAACCCTCGCAAGCACAAGATCCATTAATTAATTAAAAATATATACCACTAGTAGTAGTAAATGCTACTCCTATATATAGTATAAACACAACCTGATCAAGCGCATGTGCTTGCTTTGAAAAGATTATTAAGGGGCACTCCTAGCTGTAATATCAGATTGTTTAACTATCTAATATGTACTATGAATGAGCGATTATTTGTACCATCCATACTAGCTACCTTCGACACTGTACTATATGTTTCAACGAATATAAGAGTGCTTTGTACATGTGAGAGTTCACCACAAAAATATATATCGTCTCAACATATTCTAGACAATTTTTCGCCAGAACATCATGGTCTTTCCTGAGGCCCCTGTTCCGTTGGTTAGGAAATGTCAATTTCAACGTGGAAAGAACGTTGGGAATGATAAGATCGGATGCCCCAGACCCAAACTACCCATGGTCCATTATTAAAATGTCAATTCCGTCAGGAAAAGATGTCACCAGTGTCATACGGGACGCCCCATGCCTAACTACCCGCATCCGGGCTGGTTCTATTTCTGCTCAAGTTCCAAGGACTAAGTACCATCGACAAGGTGATCTCCTAAATTGTGACTTGAAAAGGGGAAGCTCTTACACATGGCAAAGCACATGGTTCTCCTTAGTCAATTATTTCCAGTGCTGCAAAAAGGACAATTTAAAAATGCAGTCAACAACCTTGTTAGGAAACTTACGTTCAATAGTAAATTTGTTTCTGGTCGTCCACAAGATCCAGCACACTGTGTGGTTGCCGGAAAGCATTGTCGGAGTTGCGACGTCAAGCTCGACGACGAAGCGGCGAGAAACGTACATATACATACAAAGCAGCCGATCAATCAGAGTATTGATTGATTCAGCAAAAAATAAGACGCCAGGAAGAAACTTGCTTGGAACCTCACGACATGCAGACGCACCAGATCGATCTTTTGTGTCACCCTCTGCCGTAGCTACCCAGGGGCTTTTCTGCTTTATTTATATCACATGATAACATAGACTCCAACACAAATACGAACTAGTACTTGCCGACATCGGGCTACCTAACCGTGTAACACAACGACTAAATTGAGACATATGTTTGGAATACCTAACATATACGATCTTTCGCCAAAACATATTGGTCTTGCCGGAGTCCCCTGTTCCATTCGCTGGGAAATGTTAATTTCAGCATGGAAAGAACGTCGGGAATGATAAGATAGGATGCCCCAGACCCAAACTACCCATGGTCCATTATGAAAATGTTAGTTTTTAGAATGAAGACGCTTAGACGCGTCCGGCTTTAAATTAATAAAGCCCACAACAGGCAGCGTATCGGACCTAGTCCCGAAACAGACGACACGAGCACGGAGGCTCCCGGCCAGCGTTAACTTAAGGTTTACACACGAAAGACCTGACCAGTTCAAGTACGAAACAAGTGCATGGCTCATAGCCAGAGCTTAGAGCACGCAGACTCGCTCAATCACGAAGCAAAAGGGCCACACTCACGAAGGAGACGTGGCGGGAGGCTCCCTAGCCAAAATGTAGACGGCGCGCAGACGATCTTGGGCATGCTTCATCTTGTCAGCATCCTTGCGCCTCACCAACGCCTCACCAACGGACTCCACTGCTGCAAGAAGAGGTTGCATTTATAGATGATGTTAGCAGGGTGCGTTGCGAATATACCATCGATCGCAAGTTTATTCCTAGTTAGCCAAAGAGACCAAGTTAGGGCTCCGATACAGCTCCACTGCACACGATTGTTGCCTCCAGAAGCAGAGGCAAATAAGCCCGCAAGATCGGAGGTCGATCGTGGGTTCCAGGAGGTGTTAGCGGCTGCTCGGACCGCACTCCAAGCAAAGCGAGCGAACGGGCAGCGGAAGAAAACATGATTCGCATCTTCCGCGACGTGACAGACCGCGCAATTGCCCGTTGACGGGCCGTTCCGTTTGGCCACGTTAGCCGGGCAGTCTATTGCGAAACAGCTGCCAAAAGAACACCTTAATCTTGAGCGGGAGACGCGCGGTCCAAAGGCCTTTTGGCACTAGGCGGTCTGGCTCTGGCACATCTTTCGGTACAAAGATTTGACCGAGAACTTGCCGGAAGGGGATGGTGAAAGATTTTTTATGGTTGCACTCTAATAAGAATGGGATTTTCTTGGTTACATCATCTAACTATGAGTGGGATTTTCAGCATGGTCAGTGTCAAATCCTGTATGGAGGGCCATCTGGTCACTACATGCACCGGCGAAGATCAAGATTCATAGCTGGCGTGTGATGCTAGCTTGGGACTATACCTTGTCTAGGTGTTCTAGGAAATCGCCATATCTCGGTGTCTAGTCAATGTCCAATGTGTTTTGTTTAGTGTGAGAGCATCTCACATGCGTTTCTCAAGTGCGCAAGGGTGTAGGAAGTGTGGTCAGGTTTGGGTATGTTCTAGCTGACTGAAGATTCTTCGGTGGTGGAACTAGACGGTACACGGATCCTTGAGTCTCTCCTGCCGCTATGGTGGCTAGCTGTTATATTTGGCTGGAGAGGCGTAAGGGAACGTACTGTGAACCTCTTCAGTCGCCTATGAGATTGTCTCAATTTATTATGGTACTGGCCCTTAACTACAAATGAATTAAAAGATGGATGCTCAACCTATTGCGAGGCACATATGGGAGAAACCCCCTGAGGATCTTGTTAAACTGAATGTGCATGCAGCTTTCGATATTGATACAGGGACTAGTGGCACCTGGGCCATCATTCATGATCACCTTGGATCCTTTGTTTCACATGGGACATGGAACCTGCAATTTGTACAGGATGCATCTCTGGCTGAATCTTGCGCGTTACGTGACAGCCTGTTAGTAGTTGGAAATACAGGGTGCAACAAGCTGGTGGTCGAATCAAAATTTTCCAAAGTTGTGGACGTCATGCGAAATTGAGGCAATTCTTCTGGGGCGACAACGGCTATATAGGAGGAGTGTACTTTTCTTTGTCGCAATTTCGTTCATGTTAGTTTTTCCCATTGTCTTAGGGAATCCAATATGGATCTCACAAACTTGCTAAGTTTATTGAGGACGACCATGGAGTGTAGCATGATGATCCTCCGATGTGCACTATTTGATTTATAATCACAAATGAGTTTCTAATCAATAAAGTGCGCAATGATAGCTGTTTCTGAAGAAAATACTCATGGAACACCCCCTACTATAAGCTAAATGAATTAGATTAAATTACAAAAAATTAAAATCATGAAATAAGAAAAATATCAACCTAATTAAAATATATAGAACCCTGGGAAAGTAAATGATGGAGAAAAAAAAGAATGAAATTATCCCAAAGGTAAATGCGACATCCATGATTAAATATATAACACTACTAGTAGTA